CTAGTCTTTAGGAGGAGTCACCTCAGACATATTTCTTGAGGTGGATCTCAAGAGTTAGATGCTCTGTCTCCTTTTTAAGCTGGTAGGAATCTTTTGTGTGGTATCCCTTGACCTTATGGAACTTACACCATCTGTCTAGATCAAGTTCCATGTCATTTGCCTTTGGAGATGGAGGCGTAGATATGTTGTGTGAGTGTATGACCTCCAGCCATATCTACCCGCGACAAATTTTTAGGGTGTGAATCTTTTCACGGTCTCTCCACCTCGCGTAAAGGTTGTCTTGTCTCTGATGGGCGAGGTGTAGTTGTTATTCCACAAATGTTGTAAGCCTTCAGCATTAGAAACACACTTTTCACGTCACAACCCTTTTTCTTGGCATTACTTTCTTCGTCTTTTATATAGCATTATACCCTTGTAACCACATATGATAATGAAGATGTTGGCCTTTGGCCAAGGAACTCGTTGAAGTTCCTTGCTTTGATGCCATTCTAAAATGCTCCTACAAACATTATTTGGTTCGGGTGGTCGACTTTTGTTGTTACTTCATTGAAACGGGTGAGGTATTCCCTTAGTGGCTCAGCGGGACCTTGTTATATGTTAAAAATGTTGTTGTTGGACATATTTCTTGTCGACCAGTAAACTGGTACACAAGTTTCTTTACTAGATCCTAATAATTTCCAATGGATGATCGGGGTAGGCATGTGTGCCATTGTAAGTTTGCCTCCCTAAAATTTTTAGACAGAGGCTTGCATTCCAGAGGATTGGGCGCTCTGATGATGTTCATATGCGTGTTGATGGAGGCGATGTGCTCGTAAGGGTTGCTACACCCATAGAACTTCGCCAAGGAAGGAGGCTTGAAATCTTAGGGGTTGGGGATCCAGCATTTCTGCCTTATTTGTGGGGATAGCCTTATGTTAGTGATGTTGGATGTGAAGGACGTTGTCCTCCAAAGTTTGGTTTTGAAAATGCAGCTCGTCCATGGCGGCATGCATCTCTGCCATGACATTAGAATCGTTGTTGCTTTCACTATCCTCTCGTACGGGAGTTGGTGACCTCCTAACGCCCACAATTGGGGAAGGTTAAGACTAGGAGTGGTGACTTTGGTGATTTTTAAGATGGTGGCTCAGGTTACTTTTATCAGAGCCCCACGGTGACGCCATTATACTTTCTAAAAAAAGAATATATATATATATATATATATATATATATATATATATATATATATATATATATATATATATATATATATATATATATATATATATATATATATATATATATATATATATATATATATATATATATATATATATATATATATATATATGTAGCAATCCTTAGTTGATAAGGTTGTCAGAGGTTGTGGTATTTAGGGGGGTTATAGAAAACTCAAGAGGGTGAGAGAGTATGTTTTAGGGTGTTTTCTTTATGTATGTATGATTGATCATACTCAACCTTCATCTATAAGGTTGAGGTATTTATAGAGACTCGCGAGCCTGAATTTAGGGGATCCTAAGAAGTATTAATCATCTCACCTTAACTATAAATCTTGTGGACTGTCTAATTCATAGAGAGTCGTGGTTATGACTACTTTTGCACGTGGTTATGGATTGTATGCACGTCACTATCCACATTTTTATATTAGAACGAGCCATTGACGAGAGAGAGTTGCGTCTAAATGACTTATACTTAGGGAGATCCCTAATAAAGATTGGTCTGTTGTGCCATGTGTATCTTTTTACAAATACATCACTAAAAAAAATATTAATATATAATATTAATTTTATGTTGGAGGTGTAGATTGAAACTTCAACAAATAATCGATGTATTTGAACTCTAAACGTTAAACTAAATTTTCAACACACCACTTGAATAAAATAGAAAGAAAGAGAGATATTTTCAACACTAAATTAAATTTTAATGTTCACGTACAAATTTTTAACCTTTAGTATCATATACAGTTAGAAACTTCTATAGTGCTAGCTAGTGGGTTAATAAAAAAGCTAACCTAATATTTGTATATGCACTTATCCTTATTGGTGTATAACTGTCTTCCAATATTGGAAGTGAAAGCAATAAAGCATTTGAAATATTTTTATCTCATGACCATTGATTATTGGTTGGTTTTAGTTACTTAGAACAACTTTTTATCTTCTCTTTTTATATGTGATTGGCAGAACAACATGCATAATAAAGGGAGTGCAAGTATGTATGCTTTTTGAAGTAAATAATCAAAGTTATCTCTAGAAGTTGGTACTTCTATTAATCTAGTCGCTTACTTTTTATAAACGGAAAAAATATAAACAAGATACTATACCACTTGAATAAAAGCATATGAGAGATTGAGAACAAATATACTATAACATTAAGAAAATAAGATAAATCTAAGCTCAAAGAACTACCATCAATAAAAATAAAATATAACAAAAACTCTTTGTTACACAACCAAACATCAAATCATGGAAAGGCCGCCTCTAATCCTAGACACTTCACCCCCAAGAAATAAACACCTCAAAAAACGATGGAAGATCTCTAAAAAGAAAAAAAAAATCACCACAATTACCTAAATATCGTATACCACAACAAGTGTCACATTTTTACAAATAACACATAAATGAGAAGATAACTATACATACCCTTGACATACAATACAAAAAGCATCAACTGAACCACCTAACAAATATGGTATAACACTAGATATTAGAGAGATCGGAGATCAACCTTCAACGACACTTTTTTACCAGAGTTAGGTTTATCAAGCAAAGATCATAAACACCCAGGTGTCAAACCACCTCTTTGTTTAGAATTACAAATATCGGATAATTTAACCCAAAAGATCTTAGCATCTCATTTCATCCCATCCCACATGAACTTTCTTTGAATCATTATTATCTTATGAATCCATGAGAGCAACCTTCTCCATTGTCTAGTATCGTAAAAGAAATAGGAAGACTAAATCTATATAATAGAATCTAATTCTCCATTACAATATGCACTTAAGTTTGTATTTATATTTCTTTTCTCTTTTCTCTTATACTCTAATATTGGGTGTTGGGATATGTAGGAAGATATTTGTTTTAGAGTGTGTAGACGTTGAGGTGTTGGAAAACATTGTGTTATAACAATTTTTTCAAGTGTTATTCTCTTACTGGCAATTGATAAAGATCTTTATTTGTGATTGCGGCATTGTTTAATCTTCCACATTAAAAAGAAGAAAATGTGTTGTGAAAATGTTATTGAGTTGTACCAACAAGTTTGTGAAGTTTGACTTAGAGAAAAAATTGGTGGAAGATCTATTTTTAGCTTGTGGTGGAAAATTATAATCAAGGATGGCTTGATTCAAATTGGACTCAAACTAAATTAGTTTAAATCATCAAACTAAACAGGTTAATTTTACTCAAACTAAATTAGTTCAAATCATCAAATTAAAAAGGCTATTAAAACTCGTGAATGCTGCTAATGGCAAGCCAAATTATCAAAGAATCTTCAGCAAGAACCATCCACGTTGCACTTCACAAATCCCATCGGATATAATTTCCTAGTACTGTTTGTAAGTCGTTACCAAACACAATCAATAAACCAGAATAAATCAAATCATTTCATATGACATAATAATCCATTTAAATCATCCCCTTTCATTGTAAAGGAAATAGAAAGAAAATAAATAATAATTAATTTTAGAAAAAAAATGTTAACGATAAAAATGTGAATACTTGAAAAAAGTTGGAAAAAACGAATAGAAAGGATACATTGTTACCAAAAAAAACAAAACCAGACTAAAAGCAGCATGAAAATGGATCCATTTTACATCAACTAACATAGACATACGACCTGACTTACATTAGCCCAGATCAAAGTTAAACTTTTTTTTAAATAGAAAAGATATACGTTTTTTATAAGTCTATTTAACTAAAACGATTATGCCACAAACTATAAAAAAAATCTTTTAAACTTATCAGATCGATTTATTTATAAAAAATTTATTATTATTATTATTTATATTTTATAATTTGAATTAAAATTCAAAAATAAAGATTAATTATTTTGAATAAGTTGAAAAAATATTATAAATAATGTCATAAATTTTTATCATAATTTTTTTTTCATAAATTCTCTCCAACAAAAAATATCACCTAACTTATGCTAATAGATAAACTTAAATGAAACATTAAAAACAAACATTTAATCTCAAAGATCTTTTAATTTGTTAGTTTAAATAAAATAGACTTTTAAATAGATTAGTAGGTCAATCAAATCTTTGAAAATGCCAGACTTAGACCTATAATAAACTACATGCTAGACTTAAACTTTAAACTGTAAATTTTTTTAGAGGATTTGACAAAGCCGGTCATTTCCACCCCTAAATTTGTGCTTATTAGGTGAAATATTTCCAAGCAAAAAGGCCAAGAGAGAGAAAATTCAACGCCCAAGGTCTCTAAATAATGATTGTGATAAATGATCCAGAATATTTTTTAATTCCACAGAAAAGTTATCAAAAAAATTTAAAAAATAGCTAACAATTTTTAAGTTACAACTTTGCTATACTATTTAAATTTTAAAAACATTCCTTTAGACTTTACTCCAAAAAAGTCTTCTATAATGCTTTCAAATATTTTCTGAAATACAAATCAATCTTTTAAAAATGGCTTCCACTAAATGTTATACTCAATCAAGAACAGCACAGCTCAACAAGCAAGTTCCTTGAGATGAACAAGCCTTTCATTAATAGCTATGGTCAATAATAATAAACACATTCCAAAAGTTTAAACAGTAAAATAAACATTATTTTGTTAGATAAACATGTGATAATGGTAATGAAGGGTATGTCTCTCCCCCACAAAAAGGCAAAAGAAGAATTTAATGTTCCAAAAAAAGCAAAAATCAGCTATAAAGCACAAACGTTCACAAAATCCAGCAATCAGTGCACCAGTCCATCTAACATCTAAAAGGGATACTTTCCCCATAATATTCTTGACATAAGATTAACCTGTGATGTTTGTTCAATAGTAAGCCTTGCGGGGATTGTTCTGTAAAAACAAACACAGCGCAACATGAAAACAGGTTCTGTAGTTAGTAACTTAGTAACTCAAATGACTGCAGAACAGTTCATAATAAAAACGGTAATTTACCAGAGGATTCGGTCTGTGACGGTAGCCAAGCATCATCCTCTTTTTGTACTGCTCATAGATGTCATCTTCAGGAGTCACCTCCCCAGGTTGGACAGCACCTACCCCCAAGTTATCTTTCTTCACATTGCCTGCCATGATAGGATCTGAAATACCCTTCCTAGAGCCACCTAGACCCTCACCTGGAAATAAGATTATCATGATTGTCAGCACATGAAAGAAATGACAAGTAAAAAGCACTGTACAATGGTTGGAGCTTGAGGTGGATTCTCTTAAACAACATATAATGTATTCATCAACTTAAAAAGGAAAAAGACAAAGAAGTAACAGGCACCTTCTTTCCAACCCATTTTTGATAAAAGCCTGTGGCCCACATTATCAGCCTGAATTTTGGCCTTCTCTGTAGCCTCCTTAGCAGCTTTCATTGCTGCTGCGTCGTTACAGCTAGCCAAGAACTTTTCAAGTTCTTCCTGGGGAATATAATCGCCCATGTGATGACCCTTCTTCCCTGAAGCAGATGCTGTGCTCAAGATGAAGCAGTCAAGAGAATATTATTTTTCCATAAAGTTTCACAAGTCAAACTTTGTTTTAACCAAAATGAATGTAAGTCCAATAAAAACGAAGTAATAATCACCATCAAAAGTTGAAACTTGAAGAGAAGGAGGAGGGGGCATCTCATCTTTTGAATGCTTAGGTTGTTTGAACTTTTCTTCCTGTGCAGCTTTCTTCATGTAAAACTCCATTAGCGCTAAAGAATTGGCATTTGTTGATCCACCGGGCTCATCTGAACAGATATACAAAATATGCATCAATTAAGCGTTGTATACAAAATACATTAGGGCTTTTGACAGCTGATAGTCCTACACGTTCAGATATTTTCTTTTGGACGAGTAAATCTCAATCCAACAATATGAACATAATTTTTCATCCACTAATCCTCTTTGACATCAGCATAATGACAGATCAAAACGACATAATCAAAAGTACATAACCCAAACAAGCATGTTGTATAAGCATCCCTTACCTGAGCTTCCAACTGAAAATGCTGAAGATCCAGAAGCCCTTGATGCTTCAACACTATCATATAAAGCAGAGGCAGGGATTTGGTAAGTTGAATGTTGCTGGGATGATCTCTGAGGACCATTTGTTGGTCTGGAATATGGAATGCTTGTCCCCACTGAGAATTAAATTGTTCAACGTACAAGCAAAACTAGATTAAACAATGTGAAGTAAAAAAGAGAAAGCATATTACAGGAATGAAAGCCAGAAGCCTAATCACAAAATATAACCTCATAAAGTACAACTATGACAACACTCCACACTTCTTATATCTACACACTGATTGGTGAATGAAGGATATATCCCATCAAATGCAGTTATGACCCCCAAGAAATGTGAAAATTCGTTTTCCTTCCTTATGAGCCAATTGCATATGGCGCCTGCGGCACATGGCAACGTGACAAGGCGGGGGCAGGTTTTGACCTCCCCACCCCCATCCCTGGTGGGGACAAACAAATTGATAGTGAACCGTATCCTCTTCCCAATCAGGTCAGAGAAGAGAAACCCATTGGGAACCCATCCCACCAAAACTTTCTTAATTGTATTAACTTGTGTATGTGCATGTTTGTCAAGATTCTAAAGTCATGTCTACCCAAGAAAACAAATAATAAATTCATGACAAACACTAACCATTTTGATTTGCCTGTGGTTCCTTGGACTGTGAAAGGGCCTTCTCCTCTTGAGCAAGCCGATGTTCATAATATTTATAGTCAGGACATTTAACATCAAATAAAAACCTGCATACTCAAACAAACACAACGCATTCAGTTAGAAATTACGAATCATAAGCAAAAGACTGATGCAAGAGGATTATGAGTTAACTCGAAACTTACTTGAAAGGTGTATCCCCAGGATTTTTTTGCCGTGTAACATCCTCAAATGGCCTTCCATTTTTAGCCACAAAACTTGCAAGTTTGTCAGCAACTTTCTTCACTGTAGGATCACTTGGGGGAGGAGGTGCTGCATATCACTTATAAAACTGATTAATACCAAGAGCATGAACAAGGGAATGGAAATTACTCTTGTAGCAGGCGTGCCAATACACCATTCTTGATAGGTACTTGAGGAATAAGCTGCATTCATGACACAAGATATTCAAAGACGTTTTCTCCTCTTTGCTGAATATCATTCCGGTTAGCAAAGAAGGAATATGTGGTGAATACCTCTTCAATAATGAAAAAGAGCTTAATGTAGAGGATGACTCTATTTTTTATGAGAAGTAAAAGGCTAAAAAATTAGAGTGAACATAACTGTATGCCTCTGGATGAGGCAACACACTTTGATCTTCCTTCAAATAAACACCTCAAGGAGTAGCTCAGGACATGCTTCACGAGTACACCCAAGAGGACACTCATTTTACACCTCTTTACTTCCATTTAATGATCCAAGGGGTAAATGTGACATAAATTATATTTGAAATCCATACATGTATGTTTTTCCATCCTCGTGTAAAAAAATTGTGAATGGATGAAATTTATAAATGAGGAGATCGACGTTCAAGAGAAAAAAAGAGTTTTCCCAGAGATGCAAAGAGAACAAGAAATGCATTGCCATTCAAAGCAAAGTCACATATAGGTTTAGATAAACTGGGAAGGAAAAAAAAACAGCAAGAGACAAGGAGGAAATAAAATCAAAAAGTAGAAAGCATCCAAGACATATTGATTAGACAAAAAGCTACAGTGATATGCAAGTTAACAAGACAGTGTATACATTAACAAAAAACAAAAGCATCACTGTACGGTTAGGATCTTGAATGAAAAAATAGGCTGGGCATAAACAGACATTACTAGAAAGAATATATAGAATAGTTACGCAATGATTTTACTGGATAATTTTAACTGCTAAACTTGATGGAAATAGAACTATCAACTATCTGCAAATAATTTGAGTGAGAGGTAATTACCAACATCAAGTTGTCTTGATACTTGCTCAATGCCATCATCCTGAACCAATTTTTGCCGTTTTGTAGGTGCATCGTTTGAAACATACCCAGCATCTATTTCATCTTCATCGTCATCAGCCAATTTAACAGGGGCCGGCACAAGCTTTGACTTTTGTTTCAAGCTGAAAGCAAGTTTGCCACTGGAACCACCCTGGGAAGATTTCTTAGCATCATTACCCTTACTAATGGGGGGTTTAGGATTCACAGGTCCTGAAACAACTTTAACTGGTTTAGATTCTTCTGGTTTGGCATTTTTTCCCTTCTCCTGCTCTTGTTGGAGCTGCCTGAACCTCTCCATAAATGAACCATCGTTGACAAAGAGGGTAGGAGGTGGTCCCTTGTCCATCTGCTAACGGCCAAACGGAATAATGTGGAATAATGTTGCTTTCAGCAACTCACTGTTTGACAAGCAAGCTGCAAAGCTTTTTAGATGATGCACTAAAATTTAAAGTCATGGTTTCTTTTTATACAGTATATGGTGTCATTTAAAACTTCAAAGGGATCATCCAGTTGTATATTTATGTACTAGTAAATAAAATAGGCCATATGAACAATAAACATGAATGCCAAACCAGACATCATCTATAAGACAATAAACGTCGCCACATATCATTCGTAAATGGTGAAATATAGGCGAAGACAAAAGGCCAGTGAATTAAGAAACTTGTTATGATAACAAACATCAATTAAAAGCCCCCCTTGAGAATCAAGTTTCTCCAAAGTGCAAACTAAAAAGTCCCCTTTGTTCAAAAGAAATATAGGAAACAATAATTAAAAATTCCCCTTTGCCCAAAAGTTATATTTTCATATTTTTTATTGATCTGAATTTCCATGCTTCTGCCTGTTGCTATGCAAGCAGGAGGCATCCAAAATGGAAGCAAAGTATGAGCTGAGACACGAAAAGATTTCAAAAAAAATAATGCTGTGGACGAATAGTCTAAGAAAATCCCATTTCTAACACCCTCCCAACATTTGAAGTTTCATACCTGCCAAATTGAAAAGAAAATCATCCTTAGAATCCAAGTTCATGAGCTTATCTTAAACCAGTTTATTAACCTATTATTGACAACGAAACTCAATACCAGATTACCGCCATCGGCATATGCATAGTTGCCACCACAATTAAACCTACTCATCTATAATCTGGCTACTTCACAATCCCAAATTCCAATTTCTTTTTTATTTTCCTTTGGCTATGCCGTGGAAATCATAAATTATCTTTTTTCTACAAAGAGAAAACTAATAATATATCCAACTAACAGCAAATCAGTTGTAGCAACCCATGACCTAATTATTATTATATAAAGCCGAAACCTTCAACGTAATTCCAATACCCTATTAGCATGCAAAATTCGTCTGAAACTATAACACCAATCCAAACCCAGATCTCGCAAACAGAGAAATAACAAAGCACAAGTTCTCAAAACCAAAATTAAGGGGTTAAAGTGTCACAACAACATCCACTTAACGAAAACACCAATCTAATCGAACAAATCCCCAATCTAATCAATCTAATGAATCTAATCAAGACATATGATCCTAAACTACAAACCCTGATAGGATCCAATCCCACACCCCTCAACCCCCTTCAATTGATAAACAATAAACTGAAGAAGAAAAAAGCTACAGCTAACAAAATTGAAAGAAACAACGTTGGTAAAAGAAGCACGAGAGACTAACCTAACAAATTTATGGGCGAAATTCGATGCAATCGGGGATGAATTGAATGGAGAAGAAGAAGGATGCTGGAGAAGAAAAGAGGGGAAATCGATGAATCGCTCGCTCACCGTTTCGTGGAACGAAGAGAATAAGGGTGAAGCACCAAAACCATAATGTGACTTGCAAATTGGGGCAAAAATTATTTATATGTTTAATTTTATTTTTCTTCTTTTATCATTATCTTTTTGAGAAATTTTTTTTTAGAATAACAAGAATTATAATTTACCATATAAGAATATATTTAATGGGAGTAAATTAAATGGATAAACTAAGATATTTTATGAGCCCAAAGTGATTTGTAGGATTTAAAATATTTACAGTTGTTTTCACTTTAATGATAGTTGCTTATAAAAAACCAAAATTTGACCCCACATTTTATAGTTGTTGGAGTTTTATTGATATTTTAATAATATAAAACAATAATAAAATAATAATAAGAGTCATTGAGAATAGATAGTGTGTGTTGTTTATATAGTTTACTTCCACTAATTGTTAATTCACTTACTGCCATGTCATTCTTATTCTAATGTAAATTGTTTATAACTATTGTTACTATTAAAGAATTTAATACTACACAACATGCACTAAAGATGCTCTAAATGAAACTTTCAAAAAAAAAAATTCAAACTAGCCACAATTCAACCTTTGGTCGCCATGTCAATTGGCGACTTAGTGTTATTGGAATTTGACCTCATGTGAAATCGCCAAAGTGATTGACGACTTTATTAAAGATGAAGAAAATTCGCCCATCAGAATGGCGACTCAGTCTGATTGTTAGGGTTTTCTTTTTTTTCTATTTTTAATCAATATTTTAATTTTTAATTTTAATTATTTTTTTATAGAAAATATTAAATTATGTATTCATAAATATTTGTTATTAAAAAAATAAATGGAATAGTCTGTGTAAATATTTTAATAAATTATTTAAAGAATAACAATGTAATTGAAATCAAATATTTAAATGGTAATAACATTAAGTTTGTTATTAAATTTATAAATATTTTAATAAATATTTTAATTATGTATTAATAAATATTTGTTATTAAATCATGTTGTTTGTTTTTCATAATTAATAAAAATTTAAATAACATTAAAAAAATATAGAAATGTAAAAAATATTAAAATATATTAATTTACAATATAATGAAAATTACAATTGAACAAAAAAAACTAATAGCCGACTCTATCCAAGCGACCACCGGTGCCACATTGTGGGGGATACGCGTTGCGACGAGGTCTGCGACGAGGTTGTTGTGGTGTGTCCGGTCTTTGTGTGTTTAGTTGCGGAGGAGGGTTTTGTTGTGACGGCTCCGGCGTATCAGATAGATTTTGAAGCATTTGACCCCAATAGTCGGGAGGTCTACTATCAACAGTGCTTCCGTAGTTAAGCCCAATGCCCATGTTTTCGTAGGATTGTCGGGGAGGTTGGGTGGAGTATAGACGGTATGGTTGTCCGAATTCGTACATCGAATTGGGTTGGAAATAGTGTGTTGGTTGTTGTGGGGTGTGGTAGTCAAACAGTGGATAGTTGGAGGGGGTATGGTCAAATGAGTTGTTTGGGCTATAGGTGGAGGGGGTAGGCTCAAAAGACGTATCAGGGCTATAATGATATGGTGGTTGATGTTGGGACTGGGTGGGTGGCATGTACGGGTAATGGTAAGGATGTTGTTGTTGATGGGGGCATTTGGTGACATGTATGGGTTATGGTAAGACTGATTTTGCCAGCGGTTCAGTTCCCTATGCAAGTGCTCCAACGTCTGCGTATTCCACAGGAGCACCTTCATCGGAGGTTTTGTTGCTGAAAAGACAACTAGGGCATTTCTTTTCATTAGATCGAATGTTGGAAAGGGTTCCTCCGATGCTGATGACGACGACGAAGAACGTTGATTTAGAAATGCAGACATTCTAGACTCCACTCCACTCAAAATGCATTAACACTTCAATCTTTTGGTATACAATGTTGTGAAAATATATATGTGTTTGCAGTCGTATTTATAGAAAAATAAAACAGTACGTGCCCCATATGATATGTCTTAAATACCATTACAAACTTTATACACTTTAAAATTCAATGGTTAATCAATTTTTATGTTTTAAAATTTATAATTTAAATTAATTTATATGCTTTAAAATTAAATGGTTAATCAATATTTTTTTTGTATTTAAATTAATTTATAATTAAAATTTTAAAAATATTTATAATTTAAAAACAATAATTATTACTTAAAAATTTTATTTTAAAATTATATCACAATTGTGTTTATATTAAACCTAAATGTATAAAAATAATATTTATTAAACCTAAATTTATAAAATTAATTTAAATTTATTTTTAATTAAACCTAAATTTATAAAATCAATTTAAGATTATTTTTAATTAAAGTTTATTATTTAAAAACTTTATTTCAAAATTATATGAAAAAAACGTAAACCCTAATTTCTAATGAACTAAGTCGTCATTTTGATGGGCGAATGCTCTTAGGCCTAAATGAAACTTCAACAATGTCGCCAATCACTTTGGCGATTTCACATGAGGCCAAATTCCAATAACACTAAGTCGTCAATTGACATGGCGGCAGAAGGTTGAATTGTGGCTAGTTTGGAAATTTTTTTGAAAGTTTCATTTATATGGTAAATTATAATTAATACTTGGTTATTCTAAAAAAAAATTCTCTTTTTGACTATTCTTTTTCCATTATATATTTTCTTTGTATTATTCATCCAATATTCTCAATAGCAAGAAGAAAAAAAACTACACTCAAACAATCATAAAATACTAATTCGTTACAAATATTTAAATTTATTTATATAAAAATATTATGTGTGCTTTTCGCAAGGGTGTATCAATGTGTAATTCCTAGAATAAGAGGTCGAGTTTTCAAAAAGGTTCGGAAATACCTTTTAGATTGTCCTTATTTTAGATTAATCGTCCATTTGCTATATGTGATACTCCTTCCTCAAATACATTGCTTGTTTTTGGGATAATTCGCCAGAAGTGGGATCATGGAGAGTGATGTGTCCTTAATCCACAACAGTGTGGAGAAATCAAAGGAAAATAACCATACTCTCATGAATAATAGAGGATTAATTGTCCATTCTCACGTTCTCTAAGAAGCGGTTGTTCATTCTTATGTGATTGGAATCCAGATCCAAAAGCTTCTATAAATACCTAAATCAAGAGGTTAAGAAGGAAGATCTCATATTCACACAAATACTAGATACACAGAGTTTCTCACCTCCATACGTGAGTTAGCTATAAACCCTACTATAAACCTTAAAGCCTCTAATAGCCTTTAATTACTACGGGTTCTCGCGTATTGTACTTTTAGCAAGTACAATTGGCGCCCACGTGGGCCATAGTAAAACTGACTTGGGCCATTCAGTCGAATTATTGTCCTTTCATTCGACCTCTTTGTCCATCACGGTGAACAAAAAAACAACAACTTCGGGCAGCGAAGAATCTGACAGCGAGGAAAATTCCATGGATGATCTACGTCACCAAAAGCAAAATTTGAAGGATAATGTCCTTCATATTCAACAGTGCCAGTAGAAGGTTGTCCCTACATACGAGGTGGAGATATTATACCTCTAACCTCTCTAAAATGAGATATGGGATGCGTCCATTCC